GGGGGGGGGGGGGGGGGGGGGGGGCCATTCGTTGACACAGTGACATTGTCATTAGCTTGAAGTTAATTAGTAATTAAGAGCGCTATTTCACTCAGGCGCATCTCCTGCTCCTCTGACAGGCTCTTTACTCCTCCATTGTGACGAAAACCAATAATGCGCGCATGGGGCTGTTCCTCTGTCACTTTCCGCGTGAGTTAATTAAGGGCTTTGCCACGATCCTTAAGATACGTAAAAACTGTGATATTATGGCATGTCACAACCAGCTGTGTTAAATTCAATAATATCCCGAAAACATACAGTGCCCTACCTCAGTTCTGATGTTGTTCAAATTCACTAAACCAAAAGATTAGTAATGGGACATATCAAGATTTTATTTTAGAATCATTTATGTTTTTAAGATTATTGACAATAGATTTTAATTACTTTTAAATGTCTATGTTAAAACATCATCAGAATCTCTCACCATGCCATATTCACGCGGCATGTAAAATTTTGTTGAATGGACCGTTATGGCATGTGGATTGAAAGCTGATGGATGTGTTAATAAACACGTGTACACATGTAAAATAAAACCCACATACAGTCATATTTCTCTCCAGTTCAACTGTAAATGCATGGGACCTTCCTATATATGTAGCATTGGAGGATTCTTTCATTTTTTCTTTCTTTTTTTCTTCTGAACCTTATGATAATTTCCAGCACACTATCATTTCCAACACATATCAAATTATGTATTGTGTTTAAAAGCATTCTGTGGAGGAAATGACACAATGAAAATAACATTGGTAGAAAAAATGTCCAAATCCTGTTTTGTGATATATGGGATGTCATAATTCAGCGATAAAAAATTAAAATGATGAAATACTAAGTCATTACACTAAATTACAAGTAATTTTTTATAAATAGTTGTATTTTGAGATTTGTTTTATAAATAGTTGTCATAATTATGTCAGAATTATGACCTTTTATGTATTTCTAAAACATTTTTGTCATATTTTTTACTTTTTATGTCAAAACTAAAACTTTTGATCTCATAATTATGTCATAATTTTGGATTTTTATGTCATTTCAATTTGTAATCTCTAAGTATGTCATACTTTCAACTTTTTATGTCATAATTATGACTATTTCATACTTTCAAATTTGATTTATATCATAATCATGACTTTTTTTATCTCATAATTATGATTTACCCAAACATTATTTTTTTTCTTATGTGGCTGAAATAGGCTTCCATATATTTACCTTGATTTTTCTTTATTTTTCTAATATTTATTTTTGTCACACATCGTATCTCAAAATGCTCAACATTTTCTTTCTTTTTTCTTTTTTGTTTTAAAACCTTTGTCCCAATTTGGGACAAGGGTATAAAATAAAATTGCATCTGTAAAATGGCTAGAAAATACAACACTGTAATCTGTGTAATCGCACACAAACAAACATTCATCCACACATAAGCAGAGATCTGGATATTGTCACTCAAACAGTCTGGACATTAACCATATCAGACTCTGAGAGCCTGGGGACGGTATTCTCTATAGTACTCACAGAGTACACAAATACATGCATCAAAATGAGAAAACTTCAAATGAATACAAGCACCTCTCATCTTCAGGTGTGACACAGTGTCGCCCACTTTGCCCCAGGCCCCTGATCTCACCCCATGCACATATTGCCAACTCACCAGCATGGCACGCAGCGACCTGCCATATGGTGCCACCCCATATATCTGCGACAGAAGCAGAGGAAGACCTGCACGTCCATCCATGCTGATATTGCTCTGGAATTACGACAACAGTGTGAACGACTAACGTTAGTTGCCGCAATATGGCTCTACAAGATTCATTAGCCCGCTGGCCTTTCCAACACAGGTTACTTGCAGGCATATATTTCGGCTGCTCAGAATAATGAGCTCCGTGAAAGTGTCTGTTAATATATGTAGATGATCAGAACTCAAGTATACTAAAAAGGCTGTGTGGAAGTTGATGGTTGGGCGCAGTTGGTGAAGTTTCCAGACTGGAAACTGAGGTGTAATGATGCTACAAACAGTTGGGAGGTGCTAGCCATGACACTCCAGTTAAACACGCACATATGCCCACCCACGCACCTTTAAGTGAGGTAGGCCCACTTCACCACACTATTTTATGGGCTCTACGCACATATGCCCACCCACGCACTTTCAATTACACCTTTAAGTGAGGTAGGCCCACTTCACCACACTATTTTATGGGCTCTGCTGCCCCCTGGTGGTGTGCCTCTCAATACAACGCTAATATGTTATGGATCACTGATGAAGGTGGAAATTAAAACACAGAACATATACCTTGAAAATATACTTTTATGTTTCAGCAAAATGCACTTACAAATACAGAATACCTTATTTACATTGTTTTACATTTCTTTTTACCTGACAGTTGTCTCTAAAATAAGAACGCAATAAGGATTGATTCAGTTTTCAGTGAAACACATATTTTGACTTATGTCTTAATTATAACTTTTGGCTATTTATGACTATCTAATAATTTTGACTGTCATAATTATGACTTTTACCGTATAATTTGTACTTTTTAATGTCATAATTTTGATTTACTAAAGCATTATATTTTCTTAAGTGGCTGAAAAGGGTGTCCATTATTGACCTTTTTTACCATTCTTTACCTTATCTTTGTTTTTGTCACTCATCATATCTCAGATTTCATCTCAAGTTCTTAACTGACACAGTTGTCTTCCTGGTAAATTCTTACATTATGATATTTTTTTATTAGCCAATAGTTTAGTAAGTCATTGTGGAAATTATGGCACAATTTAAGTCATAAATTATCTAAAAATATTATAAATACATTTAAATATATATTATAAAAACATATCAGACAATATTGAAATGATTTGATGATGTCACTTTGTTTGGACTACCCTAGTTTGAAAAACAAAAAAATTACTATGAAGTTTCATATTTTAAAACATTTGTTCCAGTTTGGGACAAAGGTGAAACAATAAAAATAAAATAAAAAAAATGTGAAAAAAAACAAACATAATAAAATGGCAGGATTATGTAACACTGCATACAATTGTGCATAAAACCTAATTTTCTAGACTCTCCTGGTGTTGTGGTTCACAATACAACTTCAATGTCTTGGATCGCTCTGTTGGAGGTGTAAATTAAAACACAAAACTTATTAACCTTAATAAAATATACTTTTATATTTCAGCAAAATATGCTTACAAATAAAGAATACTGCATTTACATTGTTCACATTTCTTTTTCATGTGACATTTGTCTCGAAAATAAGAACACAATATGGACTGATTCAGTTTTCTGTGAAACACATCTTTCATCCTCAACTCAGGATGGTATGACACTGCATTAATTCACAGATCTGTTGTATTTCCTAGTTTTGAGTGAAATAAGTTTAATAAGGAATGACGCAAGCGTAATAAATATGCTAAATTTCGTCATCGCTACTCTAATGCAAGTTATTATCAGCTGAGATGAAGGAACAAACCCCACAATTCTAATCCAGTTATGCAGAACACTTTAAAGATCAAGGACTGATTCAGTTTTCTGTGAAACGCATCTTTCATCCTCAACTCAGGATGGTATGACACTGCATTAATTCACAGATCATCTGTTGTATTTCCTAGTTTTGAGTGAAATAAGTTTAATAAGGAATGACGCAAGCGTAATAAATATGCTAAATTTCGTCATCGCTACTCTAATGCAAGTTATTATCAGCTGAGATGAAGGAACAAACCCCACAATTCTAATCCAGTTATGCAGAACACTTTAAAGATCAAATTAAATTGCATTAAATGGAATGGAACATTATTTATGTTAGATGGCATTTCTATAAAGCTTCATCAGTCAAAACAGGAACAAGACAGAACAGAATGCAGAAAAAAACATACAATATGTATAAAGCAAAGATCATAAGCATTTTCAATCTAACCTCTAAATCAGATATAAATCAATAAATATAAACATTTTCTGAAATATTGTGTATTGTATATATTACACACAGTGATATCTAATCTATGTATAAAATACCATTTTAATAACAAATAACCTTTGTGAACATATTTCTTATGATTTTATGTTCTGGAAAAAAATACAATTTCCTTGAGTCTCATGCAGAGAACGGTGTTATATAACAATTCAAGTCTTTTTTCCTGTTTCTTTGCAAATCTGCCATGATCATCCCTAGCAATAGGCCTGCAAGAACAGCAAAAATGTGTTGCATGTTTTAATGCACATTGAAATAAGAACCATTAAAGCGCCTTCCGAGTCCTTGCTTTTCCTTCAGTTCTTTAAAGTAACTAAACAGTAACATTTTATTTGTGGCCAAACATAAGCTTTAGTTTTTGAATAGAATTGAAATATTTTTGGTTAAATAATTCCCAGTTAGATATAACGTTCAGGATCTTGTCTCTACATAATAAAGCTTATCACCATAAAACATTCATCATTTCATCGTGCAACATCTTGGTCCAAGCAAATGACCCGTCGAGAGAAGGTCTCTAATGACTGAATCAATCAAAGACAAAAAGCAAACTAGCAGTTTGAAACAAAAACATCCTTTAAAGATCAGAAACTCTTCTCAACGGCAGACGGCTGAGACAAAGAAAATGCTTTGAAGGATCAGCCAATGACAAGATGACCTAGCACACGTTTCATTAAATGACAGTATACTCCAATTCTGCAGTAACAAACTGTAATCTCTATCACACTCCGAGTATGAAAAACAGCCGAGATGTCTGAGACGAGGTATTTTACAATGCCAAAACAAATGGTATTAACAATAATTTAATAAACATTGTCAGTACTCAGACACTCAAGCTCTAGCTTTTGGTCTTCATCTGATTAATGGATGGTTTGAACTGCTTTGGTCACAGTAATGATGATATTAAAGAAATTGCTACCATAAACCAACACAAGTGCTACAGGATAAAATAGAAATGAATGAACGCAAGGACCTTAACAAAATATTCAGTAACACACTTCATACTGTGGCTCCTAGTGATCTATAACAGATCCATATCGGTTAAGTATCTCCTACAGCTTCTCCTAGATTCTCTTCAGCCAAAGAAAAGCCGAACAGAAAATAAAAGAACCATAATGAAGAAGCCAGCGAGTGTTTGGGATGTCCCTCTTCAGAAAGGTTTCTGTCAGAGCCTGTCATTTCTGCTGCTCTGCTCCCGTCCTGTGCTCTCAGATGTGGATGTTGTGGTAACGGCCCTTCGCTAGTTCGATGTCCACTCTGCGAGCTTCTGCGAAGCATAAAAATGTTCCTAAACCCAGCAGGTTCAGTACCGTGATGAGGCCAAAAACGGATGCCCAGGAACCAGTGGCCTCGATCAGATACCCCGAGAAATACACCATGATGACCCCTAACAAACACACATACAACAACATTAACACATACAGCACACTAAAAATCCACTTAAAAACGGACATTGAGTCCTTGTTATTTCATTTTAAGTGATTAATATCAATTTTACATTTATAAAATATCAATGTTTTTATACTGTTCTTGCCTGTAAATGCTCCACAGGTATTCATCACTCCTGGAAAAAAAAAAAAAAACTTTTTTTTACAGATTTAGAAAAGACAAATAAAATACTGGTAATATTCCCTGTACGGTTTACATAGCAGACATATTGCTTATTGTAAATTACAATTAATACGTGCACACCAAGAATGATAACGCTAACAATAACTATAACTACAAAGTTTTAATAAAATTGTTCACACTGCAACTATAACGATAATGACAAAGAGGAACGTTGACTAAAACTATTAAAAACCAATTAAAATTGTACTTGAAATAAAATCAACATTAACAGAAAATAAATTATGAAGAAACCTAAACTAAAAGAAAATGAGAAATGTTGACTTGGCAACTAACTGAAATAAAGTAAGTTTAAGTACTGAAATAAAAAATAATATGCATATATATAAATATATATATAAAAACAAAAACTAATAAAAAAGTCAAAAACACAAATGACAATCTAATGTAAAAATTTAACTGAAATAAAAAAAATAAAATAAAAAAATAAAATATAGAAACTAGTTCAAAATGTGAATAAAAACTATTAAAGTATTTTAATGATACGAAAATAACCCTGGCTACAATCACTTTCAGAGCTTTTTTTTTCAGCTGATGAACAATAAAATCATTGACAGCCAATCAAAACCATTTCTACTTATGCATACACTTAGAATAAACTAGGGCTGGACGATATGGCCAAAATTGATATCACGATATATTTCTTAATTTCGGTCGATACGATATAATTCCGATATCGATATGAACACTATTTATCTGAAATAGAAATCTTTTGTAACATTATAAATGCCTTTATCACCACTTTTGATAAATTTTAAGCATCCTTGCTAAATAAAAGTATAATTTCTATAATTTCTTTCCCGCATATTAGAATGATTTCTGAAGGATCATGTGACACTGAAGACTGGAGTAATGATGCTGAAAATTTACCTATGTATGATCACAGGAATAAATTACATTTTAAAATCTATTCAAATAGAAAGCAATTTTAAATAGTAAAAATATTTCAACATTTTACTGTTTTTGCTGTACTTTGGATCAAATAAATGCAGCCTTGGTGAGCAGAAGAGAATTCTAAAAAAAAAAAAAAAAAAAAATTTATTTTTTAATGATTTAATTAATTAAATCATTAAAAATCTTACTGTTCAAAAAGTTCAAAAACGTAGTGTAGGCTGATTATTCTTATAGATTGAAACAAATGTGCTTCAGCCAGAAAAAAAGGAAAAAAAGGGGCTCCGAGTCGCTGCAGAAAAAAAAAAATTGAACAACAACAAAAACGGAATGGAAATGTTGCTGGCTTATTTAAAATGAAAACTCATTCTCTGCCAGCAGGAGGCGCTTTTAGAGTGATAAAACTAGCGGTTTCTCCAGTAATGGCTGTAATCAAAGCAGCTCCGCTCATGAACGCTTCTTTATCAGATCAAATGAAAATGCCATCGAAACTTTTCTGAAGACAGTCAATTCCCTTCAGAGATACAGTCATATAAAACACCCGCGCCGTGTTATGAATTTGAAACGTGCAGTGCTCATGTTTATAAGTCAAACGGCACAAATAAATCAATGTATGGGAAACTGGTAATGTATATCGAAATATCGGAAATGTGTTTAAAAATCATATCACCGTTATTGAAAAAAATTATATCGCGATACATATTGATAGTGAATTATTGTCCAGCCCTAAGTAAGGGTGATATTGGCAAACTTTCACCTGTAGTAAGTCAGTCTGGCCACTAGGAAGGTACTACAACCTTTGGAACAGGAAAAAAAACCTTTTGTTGAATTACAGTAATTGTTTTTTGTGAATAATTATGTACTGTACGTACAGTAAGAAATAAATTTGCTAAATTTCACCTGTAGTAAGTCAGTCTTGTAACTAGGAATGTAAATAAATCCTACTGTGCATGCAGTGTGTCACGTGTGTCAGTTGCGGAGGCGCGCGCGCTGTATGTCACGTCACTATTAAAAGCACTCGTCCATGTTCTGACTTGAAAAGAAACACATTATGTTAAGGGAAATTTAAATCTTGTGTCTAGTTACACATTTCAAATCGCAATTTTTGGTAATAAGAGCATATAAAGAACATGTTAATGATGGTAATGAAATTACGTCCATGCGACGTTGCAGTTACGTTGCCAGTAAGTCATGAAATTACCAATATGTTACAAATAGATTACATATCTGGAACGTCCTTGGTAATCTTACAACGTCAGAAGGACGTACTGACGACGTTGTGAGTTAGTAATTTGATGGTAATGAAATTACGGACATGCGACGTCGTAGTTACGTTGTCAATTGGTAAGTCATGAAATTACCAAAAAGAAACCAATACATTACGTAACTGTTACGTCGTGTGTTAGCAGGGGGTGCTCTCTCAACTTCTCAAGAACCTCTTTCACATGGTGGCGATGTTCGGCCAGGTTCCAGAAGTAGATGAGCATGTCGTCGATGTACACGATCATGAAGCGGTGGAGGTACTTGAACCCCTGGTAGACCAAGGGTGAGTTGGAGAGGCCATACAGCATCACCTGATATTCATAGTGGCCTGATGGTGTTACGAATACTGTCTTCCATTCATCACTTTCACAGATCCGAATGAGGTTGTACGTGCTATGCAGGTCAAGCTTGAAGAAGATGCGAGCACCATATAGCTGTTCCAGGGCGGCAGGGACCAGAGGAAGTGGATAACGGTATTGCCTCTCTGGGAATTTAGGACCCAGTAATCAATGCAGGGCCTCAAGCCTCCATTCTTCTTACTGACGAAAAAGAAGCTGGATGCGGCTAGTGAAGTAGAAGGGTGGATGAATCCCTGTTTGAGAGCCTCCTCGATGTACTCCTCCATAGCCTTCTTTTCCAGAATGGACAGTGGGTAAATTCTACCCTTTGGCAGCGTGGCCCCAGGCAGTAGGTCAATTGCACAGTCCCATGGCCGATGACGACGTGTTTTGATTTTGAAACGTGCAGTGCTCATGTTTATTCAACGAAGTCAAACAGCACAAATAAATCAATGTATGGGAAACTTGTAATGTATATCGAAATATCGGAAATGTGTTTAAAAATCATATCACCGTTATTGAAAAAAATTATATCGCGATACATATTGATATTGAATTATTGTCCAGCCCTAGAATAAACAATGTTCTTGTCTTAAGTGTGCAATCATAGTGTGGATTAAAGTAGAGAGAATGCTACATACCAAACAGAGCCCCTGCACAGGATGGAGCGAGATCCTGAACATTCACTGAAACCCCACTAGAGAGACACAATTACATTTTCACATTTACTTTCATGCATTTGTCAGACACTTTTACAAACAATTTATTGGAGCTTGAATTAACAGAAATCAAGCTATGACCATGCTCTACTATTTCATTTTTTTCAATGCATGAGTAAGCGGTGAGTGACATTACCTGTGGCTGAATGTGGTGAGGCCCATAGTAGCGGACACGAAAGCCACAGCTGTGGGGAAGGTAGTGGTCCCACACAGAAACAGAGTAAACACACTGGAGACGCCCATAGAGAAGAACTGAAAAACACAATAATACATATACAAATCCGCATATTAGAATGATTTCTGAAGGATCATGTGATACTGAAGACTGGAGCAATGATGCTGAAAATTCAGCTTTGCATCACAGGAAAAGTATTTTTCATCAAATTAATGCAGCCTTGGTGAGCATAAGAGAGTGTATATTTCAAACATACCTGCATGAGTTTTCTCACTGATGCAGTATCAAAACCTTTAAAAGACAAAGAAAGGAGCGAGAGGATTAGTGTGCCAGCTGAGGAACATTTAACAGTTTTATAAGTCAATTACAATCATGTAGACTTGACATTTACAACAGACTCGTAACATTGGTGGGAAAGAGCAAAGTCACGACAGAACAAAGATTACAGAGTGCAGCCATTGACGCTAAGGATCATTGCCTTTCTACTGTCTACCAAAAAGACATGAACATGAGGAACAAACAAACGTATATCTTTGAACAAGAAATGGTGAGTGTATTTGTGTAGTATGTGTGGTTTCGTACCCTGACTGATTAGATGGTCTGAAAGGCAGCCACTAAACAGGGAAGAAGGGATGGCCACAAACCATGGGATCACGTTAAACACCCAACCCTGAGGAAACACACATGCAGACATACAATCAAACACACACACACACACACACACACAGACAGATGCACACAGGAAAACAGGCAATGAACAATAGGCAAGTCCAATGCATGTGGATATACACTTTTGCGAATAGGAATCAAACACACATTCTGATGCACTGTGATGTGGAGCCCCCTGCTGGAGTTCAACCACAGCAGCATCATGCTAACATGACCAGCTCTCTCCCTTTCTCAGAAATGAATTACTCACATAGAAGGAGTGAAATCTCAGTATACACACTGATATAAGACACAGACAGTTTTCTCACACGCCGTAGTTCAGTTTACCTTGGCATCAGGGAAGGTGTCCTTGAAAAACGTTGGCAGCCATGACAGCAATGTGAAGAAGGTGCTAGCGGTGCACAAGTGTGTAATAATGACGGCGCTGAAAAACAGATTTCAGTGTTTAGGATGCATTTGAAATGAATGTCACCAACACAGCCTGACAGAAAAAAAGACACTGCAGGTGCATTTGCTCATTGATAAATATATTGTAGTTTAGACAAATATGTTTATAATGATGTAGATAAAGACTCCAGTGATATTAGTAGGCTAATAAAAGTGGGTTTATTTTACATCTCTTATGGAGATATGGGCCATCTCATGTGGGTGCCGCCATGTTGCGATCACCTGATCAAATACTACAATTTGGGGAAAATGGGAAAATGCTTGTTGCTTGATGAATAAATCAATCATGGCTAATAGCACATTTCTACAATGGCATCAGTAATTGAAAATGCTTGCATTAGTTGCATGATACTGGATCCACACCAGTGTCAATGTACAGGATTTTATATTATATAATTATTATAAAATTAATTATTTTTAATTTTAAAAAAAATGAATGTGGGTAATTTAAGAATGCAAGAAAACTTGTGAATGCAAAGTCACATATGACTTCACCATGTTGATTACACTTGTGTTTACTGTGAGAGTGCTCTAGTAGTAACTTGTTACTAATGTTATTATTCTAGTAACAGACTGTTGTCGGGATGATATATTTTTGTAGGACAAAACCTGGAAACATGTTCCATCATCCTCAAGTCAATGGGTTTTTGGTTAAATGCCTGAAATAAGGTCTGTGGTAATTTTCATGTTTCATTCTACAATATAGAATACATCAGTAATACCCGCTTTTGACGTAAAAAAATAAAATAAAATAACTTTTACTCATCTTGAAACAAGTGGCTAAATGGGATTACAGAGTTTGTCTGGGACATTAAACATCATCAAATCGAACGGTAAAACTCATCTACTCACTAGTCCATAGTCTTGTTGCATTTATATTTGCTCTCTTGCTAATTATTGTAACTCAAACTTTGAAGGAAAGGGTTTCCCCATAAAGACTGAAAGAGTTATCAGAAGCTTAGTGATGGTAGCGTTGAAGTCATGTGACCTTAGTGTAGTTTGTTTATAGCCGACATTCAGCTTTTTACTTCTGGTGATTGTATTTAGGCTTCAAAATTCATACAAGTTGTGTTAATTTGTAAAGACTATCATGATGAACAAAATGTATAAAAATCAAAAATATCTGCAAAATACCCGAAAGCAAATGGAAAAATCTTATTGGATTCTGTCAAGGGAATCAGAGTGATTCTCTACTCTACAATAATAACATAAATAACAACAGTTACTGCTAGAGCACACCCTCAAGCATAATCAACATGGTAAAGTGCAGCAGCATTTTAAAATAATTTTATAATTATCATCCACTTTTCCTTATACATTAATGTACATGTTAAACTAAAATATTACAAAAAATATCCACACGTCATGTGTGCAGTCAGAAACCCTCAGCCATGTTTAGCTGACAGGACGGAGTACTGTGTTACTGTTTCTGGGTGCTCTATATATAGACAGACATGGAACAGATGTGAATCAGGCCTTTATGGGAGCTTAGTAAAGACCCTTTGTTCAGCATCCATGCGCGCGCTCTCTCTCTCTCTCTCTCACACACACACACACACACACACGCATACAAAACGAATAGAGAAGCTAGTATTAGATTTTTTTTAAAGGGGTCATATGATGCTTTTTTTAAAGATCATTATTTTGTGTATTTGGTGTAACAGAATATGTTGACATGCTTTAATGTTCAAAAAACACATTATTTTTCAAATACTGTACATTATTGTAGGTCCTCTATGCCCCGCCTCTCTCAAACGCTTCGTTTTCTACAAAGTCCCTCCTTTTGACAAGCGCAGTCTGCTCTGATTGGCCAGCTGACCCAGTGCATTGTGATTGGCCGAACACCGCAAGCACTCGTCGGAAATGTAACGCCCCTTACCATAATCGCGAGCTTCATCTTTCAAAATAAATGTAAAGACAGAGCCCGAAAGGGGAACAGAGTCGTGTGACAGACACAGTGATGAAGCTGGTATGTGTTTGCAGTACACAAGCCACGGTTAAGACAGCTGACTCCACTTTGATGTGACGCTGTCTCTCTCTCTCTCTCACACACACACACACGATGTGCAAAACTCTGCATTTGAACAGTCAATAGCAAATACTTAAACTAATAACAAAACAGTAGCTGATTCAGAAGTGCCAGATTGTCATAGCAAAGTCAGAATTACCTCCTCTCCTAGGTTCACGAAACGGTCGTCCATAAAATGCATTGCTGTTCTGTTGTAAGTGTTCTTAAAGATTCCTAAATGCATCTACTTTCGGAAGGTGAAATAAAGTGCTTTTGCTTTCGCCTAGAAATACACAGCGTCTCCCTGACATGGCTGTTTCAACACTAACTGCGGTTACTGAAACCATGCCTTCTTTCTTTGCGTGCACATTTGGGCTGCATTATTCTAATATTTCCACATAGTGAGGTAGATATGTGGGGGCGTGTTAGAACGAGCCGTTTTAGGGGGGCGTGGCAGAGTCTTAACTTTGATAAAGAATATCTCTTTGGTTTTGAGACTTTAGTCTTTGCAACTTCAGGGATCTTATCTATGCACAATCAGCTTGTAACACTCCAAAGAGAAAGGAAAACTTGAAATCGCATCATATGACCCCTTTAAACCATAAATTATGACATTAGCTTATTACACAGCTCTCTAGAATACTTGATTTTGATTGGGCAATCATGGCAAGAAATATTTTGCATATTTTAGAATGGCTACGATGTGGAATTTTTATAAAGGACTATACCATCAAAAGTTAGGGGTCAGTAAGATTTTTTAAAGAAATTAATTCTTTTATTTAGTAAGGATACATTCAACTGATCAAAAGTGACAGTAAAGACATTTATAATGTTTTTTTTTTTCAAATAAATGCTGTTCTTTTGAACACACACGCATATATATATATATATATGAAAATAAAACAGAAAACAGTTCTTCTAAATTGTAATCAGATTTCACAATATTACTGTTTTTATTGTATTTTTTATCAAATAAATGTGGCCCTGGTATGCAAAAAATTGTACTGACCCCAAACCTTTGAATGGTAGTGTATATGGCCACAAAACACAGTAAGCTGCCAAAAATATGTATCTACTACATGAAAAAGCATTGAGAATCATTTAGGAACTGTATCATGATTCTCTGAATCTAAATCAAATTGTGAGGTACCAAGAGATTCCCAATGCTCACAAATGTTTGTGCTTCTATATTCTGTACATACCTTCTCCTTTGAGCAGATACTTCCACATGCAGTATGCCCACAACACAGACAGAAGCCCAGAGATGTAGAACACACTCTCCCAGCCATACAAGTCCAGCATCAGAGAGCCTATGCCTCCTATCACCAGAGTCCTACACACATACACACAGTCACACAAATTCAATCTGAAAGACATCCGTTCCATTTCTAAATGTAACAGTGAAAGCAGACACAGTTAGAGATCAGACACTAACCCCAGGTATGAGCCGCTTCCTACTGTGCTCATGAGGAAGCCCCTCTCACTCTCCACAACCTTCTGAGAGCACAGACTGGCCAGTGATGGGTAGTGAACACCTGAGCATCACATGATAACAGCAAGAAAACAAACACTCATATTATGGCTAATAACCAAAAACGGTCAATATTATAAATCTATATGTTTAAAATTTAAACATTTATTAGTTTGTGGTAACTAATAAATAAATAACAGTTAAAACAGTTAATTTTCTTAAATATTTATTTTTTAAGTAAATATTTTTTTACTTAAAAAAAATATATATATATATTTT